TCAAGTCCTCCCTCGTAAATAAATAGATATTTCTCACTCAATTATCATCATTTTTGTATCAAACACATGAATATAAAAGAGATAATTAAATAATTATAAAACCATGTTAATAGAGCACAACAAACTTCAGGTAACCGTTCTGACAAACGGGTGTTGTGGGGTGCCTAACACCTTCCCCACACTTAACCGACTCCCGAACCTATTCTCTATTTCCGCAGACCACCTTTATCCTCTTTTAATGGTTTCCCATGATTTTCCTCAAATCTTAGTGGCGAATCCTCATTCATGCAACTCCCGTCGTAAGGCCGGACCTCCCTCGCACGCGATCCGCGTCGCATTTTTTTGGGTGCGGCAATTTGTTTTGATTCAATAGGTTAGTTGATATTAAAATTTGTGTCGATTTAAGATAATGTTTGGAAGGAAATCATGGATTTGAGGATCATTAAACAGGTTAATGAGACGCAGAGAATATATATATATATTATAGAGTATACTAGCAATAAATTTGTGTTTTTTCTCGAATCAACAATTTATGTTTGTTTTTTAAACCTTGGTTGCTTTGGCCGACCCAGTTAGATTTTATAGTAGTTCTTCATAATAATCATTCACTATGATACTTACGTGTATAAAATTTGGTATTTTTCCCCCACTTCATCATTATATGACTGGAGTGGAGATGAGAATCAACCTAGCCTATAAGTTTTAGCTATATGACTAGAGTTTGAAAGCCTATTTTTGTAAAACGGAATCAACTTAATAAAACCTAATCCATAATATGCAAGTTTACTGTATACAAGCCATTTTGTATGGTCGCATAATTTTCTTTTTAATCATTTAAATATGTGCTGGCAAAAAAAATTATTTAAATATGAAATGAGTGACAACAATCATTTCTGGTCAAGTGTAGAAACTAATATGCGAGTGTAATCTCCAACCACCACATGGTTAAAGGGCAACAACCTCTCGTATTCATTTCAATATAGATAAATTGTTAATTCTTAATTAAGTAGATTTAAAATGGATTGGCTACAATTTAATTACTTGCTCAACACTTGATAAGCATGGTAATTCAAGATTTTGTATTTAAGATATTATTATAGGCATTAGATTATGGAAATGTTCTATGCACTGTTTCAGGAAAAAAGATAGGAGTAGGGACGGATCGGGGATGGGTGTTGAAGGGCAAAGCAGGGAGAGGCTGAGTAGAGTGGATAGTGGAGAGGGAAGTTGCGTGGAAGGATGCTTTCACCAAACATCCCTATCACTATCAAATTTCAATCCTATCCCACCCAATGTTTTCAATAAACTACTACTTCTACTTTGGCACCCACTGATTCTCCCTCTTCCTCTTCTCGTCCTTTCCCATTCTCTCATGCTCTCCCTTAACTTCCTTGCATCAGGTATCTACTTCATCCCTTCTTCCTTAGTTTTCTCATTCCTCATTTCAGTTCTTGAATGTAGTGTTTTATTCATAGCTTGTATAACATGATAAAAGGGTGGGGTGGGGCTGCTAAACAAATGTCACATGATTGAAAATTCAAATTAGAATGCAGGTTCTTAGACTTACTCTCTTGTATCAATTGTGATCTTTCGCCTCTTTTTTATGGAAAAAGGTGGAGTCAGAATTTGTCAGATTTTCTTTTCAAAAGAGTACTGCGACAAATCGCTTTTACTTTTGTGGACAGTTCATCCTGTGAAAATTTAATCAGGCACAGAACCTCTGTAAAATTTAGAGGGGATGGGTGGATCCATTTCAAAACGGCGTAGTGGGAGCCAACGTTCATATTCAAGGTCTAGTTCACATTCGTGGAGTTACCCTCCACCTCAATCACCCTACGTGCAACAGAGCCAAGATTGTGGGCCTTGTGAATATTTCGGGACTCCATCTCAAACCTATGGTAGTGGTCGTGCTCCTGAATCAAGAAAAAGGTTGGAAGGGAAGTATTCGAAGATAGATGATAACTATATTAGCTTGGACCAGGTGCCTTTTCTTTTCCCCAAGTTTCAGTTCATGAAGTGGTATATATATACTATGAGGCAAAAACAACTTTCTTTTTTCTTGAACTCTTTTATGACAACTACTATCCAAGTGCATTGCTTTTATATGTTTGATCACGCATAACAATTATCATCTTGATGCTTTCACTGTAAAAATTGCTTTAATTATGGAATAAATAGTTTCAATGGTTTGCTTTTCCACAACATAATAGTTTTAGGCTGATGCTCTGACTGATGGCACAACTGTAACTGACATCTTAAGTTCACATTTTTTGACACTCTGCAGTAATTCTTGATTTTTTCAGGTAACAGAGGCTCTAGCAGGTGCTGGTCTAGAGTCATCCAATCTAATTGTTGGTATTGATTTCACAAAGAGTAATGAGTGGACAGGTTTTCCTTCTTTTCGCTGCACTCTTTTTTGTTGCCTTTCTTTTGCCATTTACTTGACAATTGACACTTATAGCTTGCTTTTTTATCAGGTGCAAACTCATTCCAAAGGAGAAGCCTGCATCATATTGGTCATGAATAAAATCCGTATAAACAAGCAATATCAATCATCGAAAAAACACTGTCTTCCTTTGATGAGGATAACTTAATTCCTTGTTTTGGATTTGGAGATGGTAATTTCAAAGTTTCAATGCATAATGTATTATACTCTTTTTTTCCTTGACAAGTTACATTATGTGTGGTTTTACATATTGGCAGCATCAACCCATAACCAGGAAGTTTTTAGTTTTTATCCGGATGAGAGATTTTGTCAAGGATTTGAAGAAGTGTTGAGACGATACCGTGAATTAGTCCCTCAATTAAAGCTTGCAGGTATCAGAACCTTGGTCAAACTTTATTTCCCTTTTTTATTTGACGGCAGCATCTTGCTCATCGTATTTTTGCTTACTATGCTGTGACAGGACCAAACATCATTTGCCCCAGTCATTGAAATGGCAATCACTATAGTTGAGCAAAATGATGGCCAATACCATGTCTTGTTGATAATAGCAGACGGACAGGTAAAGCATTTTAGATTATGTTTGTCAATGTGATAAAAATGGTTGGGGAGGGGGTGTCTGATGATATAAATATCAAGACCTTGCTTCTATACTATTAAATCCTAATGGCTAAGCTATGTCAAATAATTAGCTATGAGGATGCTATGATCACTTAATTTGATTTCAAATGAAATTGTATCAAAACAAAATCATTTAATTTACACATATATTGCCTATGTTGAGGAGATGTGAAAATGTGGATTCTAATATTTGTTGAAATTGAATAAAGGGCTTAATTATAGTTGCATAAGAAACTTGTAGAAAGCTTAAAGATGATATTGCTGCAGAATTGTGAGTATGGTATGGTCTGGGTTGCCTTTGACCTTGAATTGACAATTGGCATTTGGAAACTTCTTTATGTTGAACTAATTGAAGCTCAGGGTTGTTTTAGGTGACAAGAAGTATTGATACTGAGCGAGGGCAGCTAAGCACTCAGGAAAAGCAAACTGTTGAAGTTGAAGCTATTGTCAAGCAAGGCAATTATCTATGCATTGATGTAGTTTTTAAATTGCCCTTTTTGGAATTATATTTCTGAAATGAGAGTTATTTTTAGTAAATATCCCCTGTCAATTATACTAGTTGGAGTTGGTGATGGGCCGTGGGACATGATGAAAGAATTTGATGATAACATACAGCTCGGGCCTTTGATAATTTCCAGGTATGCATCTCAAGTCTAGAGTATAAGATGTTGTTTTGCTCTTGATTTAGGGTATGCTCCTATATGTTTTTCCTCAATAATGATAAAATTTTAATTTTTCTTTTCTTTAATCTCTTTGGCAGTTTGTGAATTTTACTGAAATAATGTCAAAGAACATATATCGATCCAAAAAGAAACAGATTTTGCACTTGCTACGCTGATGGAAATACCCTCACAGTACAAGGCAACATTGGAACTTAATATATTGGGGTATGCATGTTGAGCCTTTCTTTTATTCTGTTCTGTTCTGTTTTGTTCTCTCTCTATCTCTCTTTTCTGGTAAACTTTGCAGCATTTGATGTAGTAACTGTTGTAAAGCCATTTAATTTTGTAATCTTTTAACAATGCTCATAGAGGGAAGGGTATAGATAGGGTTCCTCTTCCCCCGCCTCTGTATGGTGCTGCATCTGTCGACACACCAAAAGCTTCCCGTTCAATCAGTTTTTGTCCTAGTGCACCATCTGACAGGCATAATGATACTGGCACGAATCACTCTGCGAGTTCTGTTTCAGATAATCATGTACTTTTTATTCTACTCACACCTAATTTGCTTAACAACATTGCTTTTCACAGAATTTTGGAACATGCTAAATAATTATGTTCTGTAATCCTAGCAGGTTTGTCCAATTTGCCTCTCTGAACCTAAGAACATGGCCTTTGGTTGCGGACATCAGGTAAGAGTGTCAGGCGGTTAATGAGTTTCTAGTTTTACATTTAGCTTTATGATGATTGAATGCATATTTAAGTTACGCATCAGTTACATGACTCATCTTCTACTTGATTGGCAGACCTGCTGTGAGTGCGGACAAGATCTGGAGACATGCCCCATTTGCAGGAGTACCATTGACACTCAAATAAGACTATATTAGATGATACCTCATCTGGAAACTTGTCCATGATTTTTCAAGTTGAGTTATTCTGCAAGTTGTCTGGTAATGAAAATGAAGAATGAAGCAGATAGGTGCTCCTTAGATTCACAGTGTACATATATTGGGTATTTATTCGTCTGAGTTTAAGGTTTTCTCGCATTCTATAATGAGCTCAACCATCAATCATATGAAGGCATTCTGCATTTCAAATTCATTAATAAATCCGGATAGTATTTATTTATCCTGCAGTCCTTATATTAATTAATTTTATGGTGATTCATTAATTTTATGTTATAAGTTTTATTGAATTGCTGTGTTTGTGTATAGTTAGATGGCTTAGAAGTTATACCAATAACTCGTATCTTCGCAGTTCGCGACATGATATTGTGAACCTAACTACTATCTTTTTAGCTTAAAGTATGAAGTTAATAAAAATAACCGAGGAAAAAAGAAAGGTAATACTGTAAGATGAAATTTTGGTATTAGAAAAATCAACTCATTCCATCCATGCTTGTGCGATTTTGACTATGTTGTTATCATTGATTAAATTGTACACGTTTGTTATCAACGAAACTCTTGCATGACCGGTGAACTCTCCTTATGGCAAGATTCATCTAATATATGTATCACATATTTTAGGACGAATTAGCAGACTGATTTTTAGCCTAGTTGATCGCTCCATTTCAAGTGCATGACTGCTAGTTAATCAGTCTCAATCTAAACTGGAGGCTACAAAAAGAGCCTCAGAGTCAGTACTATCTCCATCGTAGTCATCTTTCAGCATAGATGGAGCGTAGCTTAAAAACATTCCTGTATTCAGATAAAGTGATGATCTATGTCATAATCCTGCTTTGTGTTGGGTTCGAAGACGGTGCAATAAGAGGGGTCTCCAGAAAGCGGGGGGGACAATGGCAGCTCCTACTTAACAGTTTTGGCGTTGTGGGGATGCACATGGCATTAACTCACCATAACACTGTCGTAATGTTCGACCAAACTGGAGCTGGCCCGTCTAATTATAGGCTCCGGAGACGTTTTAATGGCACAAGGTGCACAAGCCGCGATGACTTGATGGATTCTATATGCTATGCTCACTCTATCGAGTTTGACATTAGCAGCAACAAATTGAGGCCACTAAAGCTTGACTTTGATCCCTGGTGTTCCTCTGGTTCTTTCCTTAGCAACGGGACACTTGTACAAATTGGTGGATATAGTAATGGAGCTAAGAGAATCAGAGTGTTCAGACCCTGTAGGGATCACCAGTGTGATTGGAGACAAGCAAAGAAATCCTTGTCTGATCGACGTTGGTATGCTTCCTCTCAGATTCTGCCAAGGCATGACAGGGTCGTTGTCGTTGGAGGAAGAGGAGTTTTCACGTATGAGTTCGTCCCAAAATTAGACTCTAGAGAAAGCTCATTCGCTCTTCCATTCTTACACCAAACTAATGACAGAAAGGTGAGAGGGAACAACCTCTATCCCTTCTTTCATCTTTCATCAGATGGCAATTTATTCATTTTCGCTAACCGTGATTCTATTTTGTACAACTTGAGATGACACAGAGTGATCAAGGTCTTCCCGGAGATGGTTCACAAAACTACCTGAGCTCAGGCTCAATCTGTGATGCTCCCATTACACCACGGAGACAATTTCCAGAAAGTGGAAATAATGATTTGTGGAGGAGCAGCTTCCGGAGCTTATAGAGCTGCCGATGAAGGAAGATTCTTGATGGGGCTACGTTCATGTGGAAGAATGGTGATCACAGGGAACAAGCACGTATGGGAAATGGAGAACATGCCAGGACCACGTCTCCTACATGACATGCTCATCCTCCCAACCGGACAAATTCTGATCATCAATGGAGCCAAGAGTGGCTCAACAGGGTATGACAATCCAAGAAATGCTTCTCTTCAACCTTACCTCTATGGCCCAAGTAGAAGACTGGGGAGAAGATTCACGATCCTCAGTTTAACCAAAATAGCCAGAATGTATCACTCGTCAGCAACTCTTCTTCCTGATGGCAGAGTGTTAGTTGCGGGAGGTAACCCTCACAGTAGGTATACATTTCACAATGTGGCATACCTAACTGAGCTGAGACTACAAGCATTCGTTCCAAATTACATGCACAGGAGGTACCATCGATGGAGGCCAAGAAATGTGTCCATTGCATATGGAGGAGGTAGTCGTGATGAAAGCTATGAGATTGGGTATGGGAAGCAATTTAGTGTTAGGTTTTTTCTCGGGAAGAGGCCAAGCAAGAAGATGGAGTTTAGTGTGTACGCGCCGTCATTTACGACGCATTCGTTCTCCACGAATTAGAGGTTGCTCAAGCAGAGATGCACACCATGAGGAGGCATGGAGGTGGCTGGATTTCTGCAGTTGTAGAAGCCCCACCATCTTCAAATGTTGCTCTTTCTGGTTATTACTTGTTCACCGTTGTGAATGCTGGAATTCCCAGCGTGTCCCTTTGGCTTCGCTTTATTCATGCCTAAGCTTTATAATTATCTCCTTGTTTTGTGTTACTTTCTAAGTAGATTTCCAAGTGCAAAATTTAAATGTAGTAAAGTCTAAAAGATGAACTTGTCAGGAAATTGTTTGCTTGTGTTAATGAAATTGTGTCCTTTCATATACAGAGCGTTCAACTACTTTGATTTCTTTCCTTTTTCTTTTATTTGATCAACTTTAAGACTTTCATTTTGTTTTCTTAGCCAACTAGAAACCCTCCATCACTATTCTTTGAAAAACGTAAGTGTTCAAAATTCTCGATAGCTGTACTGTAAAAATAGAATCTGTAAATATAATTGAACTTAGATAATAAGGACAAAAAATACACCTGCTTTAAATTTTGCTTAATCTAGTGAAATTGAAGAAATCATTATAGTTCTTGAGTTTTGTCTGCTACAAAAATTCTTATCCACCCAACACTTTGAACTACATTTAAGTGGGTCTACATAACAACTACAATGTCCAAATAAATTAACATAGATTCCATTACTTTATGAGAAAGTTAAGATAAGAAGATAAGTGGCAGAATTATAAAATTCCAATAAAGTTGGGAGATAAAATTAAAAAAATGTGTATATGAGATTTTTTTTCCATCATAAAAATTTAATTTGAGAAATTAAAATTGAAGAAGTAGGGGAGACCCCATACCGGATGCATGCTTATTGAATTATTCTCTTTAATCCTATTTATAAATTACTTTCATCATGTTTTATTGGAATCAAGAAAAATCTTAAATTTTATTAACTTTTTTTTATACAAAAGGAAAGAAAAGCAAAAATCTTATTAACTCTATCTTAAAACTTAATAAGGTTTTACCTTTATCTCCTAATAAAGATAAAAAGAATTATTTTTAATATTTTTTAATATTTAATAAGAGTAAAATGTAAAAATAAATATAAAAACTAGAAAAATGCCTTATAAATATGATCAAAATTAATTATCTTTTTCTACCTTATAAATAAAAATAGAGGTTTATTAAATGTAAGACAGAGATGTAAAGGGTTTCATGAATGTACACGTTAATGAATACCAAAAATTGCAGCTCCAATGGCCTCATTAATTAATTGTACCAAACAAGTTTGCGCATGAATACGTGTTGCAAGCCAATTTTAAGCCACAAAGTTGAGTAAATCAGAGGATCCACGAGCAAATGTCCAAAATCCTGTGAAGAGAAATAAGTTATAATTAAACAAGCGTGGCTTGTCCTTGAAGTTGTGAGCAAGCATATCAAGCACTTTCGGTCCGCGATGACTTCCGGGGCCAAGCTCTCTTACCAGAGGCTGCAAAACGAACCAGAGTTTGACGAAGAAGTACTAGAGAGACAGGTGAAGAGTGCAAAGGCATGGCTTAAATTCAAGGCTCTAGCTGGTAGGAGAAGGCGAAAGCTTCATGTTCCCAGACTGAAGAGATTCCTCAGAAAAAGAAGCAAGATTCTGCGTAGCTTCAAGGTCTCGTGGCGAAAAGCTCTGCACAGGCTCGAGAATGGGCAGAATCATCTCAATGATCTCTTCGGGGGAAACTTCCTATTTATGCACTGCAATCCCACTCCTTTCAGTTTGAGTCATGGCCTTCATAAATCACCACCGACTTATTCTATGGGAAGGATCTTTTAAACTCTATGTACTTCGTTAATTTACTATCACCCTCTTCTGTATTTTGTAATGGCTATTAGAAATGCTTCCGCGTATATTCAGGAAAGTCTTACTACCACTTTTAGATGTGGTGCGAATCTTATACGGGACCAGCCATCAGTATGGACAATGTTTTAAAACCCTTCTTCATGCCATAGATTTTATCACTCGTTCTAGCCTGGCTCTGTCTTGTCTTTTCTCCCAATTATTCTTCAGACATCGTCGTGTGTGTGTGTTTGTATCTGTGTGTTGCAGACAAAATTGTCAGCTTTCTTCATGACTTACTAATTCTAGATGCTCCTATTTTATCATCCGAATAACCAAAAACTCAATTTTCATCAGTCAAAGAAACAAATTACAAGAAAACAAGAGAGATTCAATCGATATACTGCACGTTCGGTGCTTTACATGAATTTGATTTTATTTTCGTCAACGTGCTACAAAACATGATGCAACAGATTCGAACTAAGATTTAACACTCGCTACATAGTATAACTTTCAACATCTTTCTTGGTTTGGAATGCCAGTAAAAATTATGTTTTCAATCAGCAAACTGTCTGTCTGGAACTCACTAAAGCATGCTATTCGTTCCAGCCCTGTTTAATTTTATTTTTTTTCAGAAGTAGCCGTGAAAGAGCGACTTCATATATTCTGAATACAAGGACGTGAAGTTTTGAGATATAAGCCAAGGATCAAACTTCACACATCTGCAAAGAAGTGATACGTACGGATGTTGTCAACGATCAATCGAACTGCAGAAATGGTGGTTACTACTGCGAGCGCAGAAGAGAAAATAATGCTAAACCAGTGCCATGCTTTCTTCTCTATCCTTGCCGTCTTTCCCTTCACCTATATGATCCACAAGACAAACTCACAAATGTATAATCATACTGACAAGCAAAATATATGCATGCTTTAGTAATTGAAGGTGAGATTATATAAATTATCAGACCTTGAGAAAGATCATACTGGGGAAGACGAAGGTAAGAGGAATGAGGGAGAAAGAACCAAGCAAGTTGACGAAGTCGCCCATGAAAGGAAAAGCAGCGGTGACGAATGTGTTGCCTGAAAAGAAGAGTGTCCGTACGAGGAACAAGCGTTTAAGGTTTTCCTTTTCATGCATCCCCTTGTCAATGTCCAGGAACTTGGTATCCAACGCCTCATGAATCGGAGCCACAAACATCTGCATTCGTTGGTACATTCGACAAACCTTAATAATGCCACCATTGTGTTCAACTAAAAAAACAAAAGAATGTGTGGCTGATTACGTGCTGGGACACGACAGACTGTAGGAAGACGATGGCGTTAACGACTACAATGGCCCATTTAGGCCCACTAAAGTTTTCGGGTAGGTAAACGGACACATTTGATCCATAGGCCCAGTAACCAACAACGATGACTCCGTAATAGAAGAGGAGGCCTAATGTGTACTGTGAATATAACGCCTTCCGCATATTGCTCACAGCTGGCTTCCTTAGAGTTGACTGCGTCCGATAAATACGCAAAAAACAGATCATTCTTTCAATAATGATTTCATTGAAAGTATTATATAATTTGATGTAGACTTCGGTCTAGGATACATCACCTGTATCTCTAGAAGCAGGCCTGAAGTGTTGGAGACAATAATGGCAGAGATGGAACCGAAGGCACTGAACACCTTGCTCACTTGGCTTCCGCTAATATCATAGTCTCTATTGGAGTTTGATTTGCCTTGCAATGGCAGTAACAAAAAGAAATGGCATATTTTATGTGGGTTACTGTAATTAAGAAAGAATCTTCCAAGGCCAACATTAATTATGAAAGACAGCAATTAATGCGTGGCGTACCATCTCTGACAACGACAAACAAAGTTACAATGATATATGCAAAAGTAAGGACGGCAGAAACAGCAAGCCAATTTTTCATGGCAGACAAGGTTGGAATGAAGAACGCAAATACGAAGTAAGCTGCTCCTGTTATCACTATGAAGTATTGAAGCCTCAGCGGTGAATCGCTGAACTCTGAATTTATGGCCTGCACGCATTTTCACAGTCAAATATTATCAGCTAGTTTTGTCGCATCAAGAGACAGATAGTGTTAGCGTTACCTTAAGTGCCTGGCCTCCGAGGATTATGAAACCCATGTTTCCGAGAAGAAGGGTGAGAAACTGCGCAGCCCATGTGAGTCGGTACATAGCATTGCCTTGAAATACATAAAAGAAAGATGATGTGATGAGCTCGTGAAGTTGTTCAAGGATTTTGGATCCGATCGGGGTTATAATGAAAAGCTCACCAAAAAGGAATCCCATGACATCTCTGTATCGAATGAATCTCTGGCCATTGACGAACTGAAATGATGCTAAGAGCCAGTTTGCATAGGCGGTGTAGAGTCCCACGACAATAAGGCACAGGACACCCCATTTCCAGCTCAGAGGCACCATTATCAGATTCGAGAAAGTTAATATCCATCCACAGTTGAAGCTCGTTATCAGAAGTATCCCACTTGCTGCCACGAATCTGCAGCAAACCACATGTTCATCAAATTAGATTAGGGTCATCAAATTAGATTAGGTGTAGAACAAGCTCGACCCAGATCTCCGAAGCAACAGAGAAGCAGCCATAAGATGATTACCGTGGTCCACGGTATGAGCAGAAGTGACCCCATCAATTTGGGGACTCTTTTGAAGACCCTGCTCGATACTCAGAGGTTTGTTTCCTCTTTCTTTATCCATGGAGACAGACACGAAAATGGAACACACCATCTCGTTCTATTACGTTTGAAAACATTTCTTATATAATTCAAAAGGATTGGAATCCATTGGTTGGTATTTTTTATTATTTTGCCTCCATTATTGTATCGGATCTGATTTCGAAACAGCAAAATGCTCGTCACCAGAAAAGACCTAAGCCAATTAAATTAAAAATTTGGATGCTCCAAAATTTTTAATTTTAATTTTAATTTTATATTTTATAAAAAATAAAATTTATAAATTTTTTTTATAAATATATTTATCATTAATCTGAATAGTATAAATTTAATTTGAATGTTTCAATTTAATATTATAATTTTTAAAAATGATTATTTAGATATATTCTGGACAGTCCAAATTTAATGTTAAATTTTTATTCTAAATTTAAAGTTTTTATTTTTATTTTTATTTTATATTTATTAAAATAAAAAATTATTAAAAAATTTAATATTAAATCTGTCTTATTCCAGAGTACATCTAGATAGCCAATTTATTAAAATTATAATATTAAATTAAATTAACTAAAGTCTCAAATTAAATCAGTAATGTTCAGATTAATGATAAATATATTTATAAAAAATTTATAAATTTTATTTTTATAAAATATAAAATTGAAATTGAAATTGAAGAACTTTGGACCAACTAAACTTTTAATCTAGATGGCCCAATTTTTTTCTAGTAAAGAGCATTTCGGTGCTCAACAGCTGCTGAGCACTGAAATCATATCCTTATTGCATCTTATGCTCTTAAAAAATTTTAGGATTAAGAATTATTTTTGTTTAAATTTAATTATGATTAATTTTATCTTTTACATTTAAAGATTCCCTTCGTTATTATCTTAATGTTAAAAATACGTAACATCAATTAGTTATCAACAGGTCCAACTATTTTTTAAATATTTTTTATTAAATTATGGGTCATTTTTGCATTCAACTTCTATTTGAAATATTATTTTTGCTTCTTAATTAAATATTTTATAATAAAAAATATTAAAAATATAATATAAAGCCGATAGTAATTAGAAAATAATAAGGTGATCAAGAATAAAATTTTTAAAATTAAAAAATAAAATTAACTCATAATTAAATTTAAGAATATTTATAATTTTTTATATATAATTTAAAGATAAAAAAATTATTAATTTTAATTTTATTTGGCTCTCATTTTCAAACGGTCAAAAAAACACCCTCACCTCGGAGGCTACCCATCTAGAAAACGTCAGCTAGTCCGACCATGCTCTGGAGACCATTGAATATGCTTTTTTTTTTTGGGGGGGGGGGGGGCGGCCATCGCATTGAATATATTTACTTGCGTATCTATGTGTATGGAAGTCAATGCTATGTCCATCTGTGGTTTACTGGTTGTTTCCATTCAAAATTCACGGCCGCAACTTGTTATAATTTAGAAAACATCAAATTGGAAATATTAGATTAGTTGCAGTATTCAGATATTTAATTGGAAATCAGAAACGTCTCAGGATGTGACGTTAATAGAAAGCATACAAATATCAGTCACTTAGCTTGACTCCACCCCAAATAACCAATCACGTGGATCCCACCGGCAAGTAAAGAATTCTCGCTCATTTCTGTCCCCTTCAGGATAACGCGACCAAATATCAACCTTCAGAATGTTCAGACGGATCAAAGATCGATATTGAAAGATTCTGGATATGTATACCAAGTATTATTAGTATATTGGACAGCGAGATGCTATTTTATTCTTGTACGGCAGAAATTAATTAAATTGTTGGTCATGAAGCTGGTTTTTCGTTGTTGAAAATTCAAACAAGAGAACACGAGTTAAGAGTTCAATGACCCACCGACGTGGGGAGAAAAATTAGAAAGCAAGTTGCTGATTCAACTGTAGAACCGTAACATGTGATGTATGTACGTGTACTTTGATGGGAAGGCAGTTCTTGGATTAGAGTGGGATATATTACTGATAAGGAAGAAGACTAGGTATATTACTCTAATTAGGTTCATATGTTACACTAGAAAACATACCTCGGAATATTTAGGAGATTGGGGTTCGTGCTACTCTTGAGAAAGGGCAAGTAGAGTAGCACTGGTAGATTACTCTCTTTCTTCCGTTGGGGTATGAAGGCTTCTATTGTGTTGATGATGATTTGCTTTCATTCGAGTAAAATTTTTGGGATCAGATGGGGTACCGAGGAATTAAGAAAAGTGTCATCCAATCATGTCGAGATCGAAACCACACGCTACTTTATTTGCGATATTTTTGGTTGATTGATCCTGGCTCGTAGTTGTAATTTTACTTCAGAGTTATTAGGCCACTTATATCTAATGAAACGTTTCTGGACATACAAAGAAATCAGGGCATTTCTGTTTCTCCGAGTTTGAATGCAATTCTTGCATGGCAGTTGCAGATTGGAATGAATTTTGGGCCGCAGTGGATCTTCCGTACATATCCTTATTCTCTACTCTACAACAGGATTTAGATGCAAGACTAGTGACTCTGAATAAGGCTACTGCTCCAAGAGGATCACGGCCTGAACGTTCCCCTCGTGCCTTCGAACCTTCTTTCAAAATCCACGTCGACTACTTGCCATGGGATGTTGACAATGCTCGGCTGGAGCAAATCTTCAGCAAACAGTCGATCACGTGGTTTTGGCCTCGTCACAATGGCCAATGAGACTGACATGAATGATACTATTTTTGCTCTTGATGGTCAGGTATTACACAAAGTACTGAGTCACCTGACTAATGGTTACATATATATATAATGTACTCAGCCATACACTATACACCAGTCAGTCACTTGCATTCATCGATTAATTGCTACAACTTAAGCACGAGAGGATATCAATACTAGCAGCCTCGCAGTTGAGCGTCAGGGCTGGTGAGAGGCACATAACGAACAGAAGTCTCGGTTCGGATGGCGAGAGAACCATCAGAGTTCTTATGGACCACCCGTAAATCCTGAAACATGTTTCCCACAGGAATCACCATTCTTCCTCCTGCCTTCAACTGTTCCATCAGCGCCTCTGGAATTTCTTCTGCTGCTGCTCCCACGTGAATCGCATCATAAGGACCCCACTCCGCCCACCCTTCTCTTCCATCTGCTCCCCCGAACTCTCATATTATACATCCCATAATTTAACTCCTACACAATATTATATTATAATTTTTTATTCTATTTATAAATTATTTTTATTAATTTCATCGATACTAATACAACAAAACTATAAAGAATAATGTTTAGTAAAATAACAAACATAACTTTCAAAAAATAAATAAACTATATAATATTATTTTTTTATTTTTTCTTCTCTTACTTTTTAAAAATAGTTTAGACATTTTATTTGAAATAAAACATTACTATCAATCAACAACTTATAAAATGAATCACTTTACTCTTTTAAAAGATGACCAATAAAGTGAATCGGAGGAGTGCCCTCATCAAAGTGTGGGGGTGTGTGTGGGTAATTTGCTCATCTTAGTGACTCAGAAACAGTTACAACCATTTAAGCTACACTGAGGCTTCACCAGTATACCTGAAATGTCCCCCCGTCTAAACCGTATTTTCACTGTGCTAGACTAAAAGTTGTTTGAACCTCAAATATTTCAGATTCACAACAGTTCCAGATTCATACCCCCGCAATGCATCGAGAGGGAGCCATCTTTCAACGGAGGAGCCGCTGCACTTTTTTGAATATTCTCTTTTGATGAGGACACCAATTCAGGAATATGCTCCACTCCCACAGCAAGGCCTTGGGATCCAACCATCATGGCAAAGCACGCTGTCAGATACCCTGTTCCTGCAAAGAGATCAACACCAAGGAAATTTGTAAATAACGATTGTAGATAGCAAGAGGGAAAAGGAAAACTGTAAAACATCAGAAGTCACAGCCGATAGAGATCCATATTGTTCATCCCATTAGATACCAGATCCGACGTCAAGAGCACGCATTCCAGGCTGCAGGTTCTGCTCCAACAACTGAAGGCAGTAGGCATGCATGTGAGGAGCAGATATAGTGGCATTGTACCCTATTGGCATGGGGCTGTCAGCATAAGTTTGCATTCCCTCGGGCACAAAGAAACCTCTGTTGATGGCCTCCATTACTCGGGCCACCTTCTTTGATGTTATTATTCCACAACGCTGCAACTTCTCCACCATTGCTTTGTTCCTACTGCTGCCACTCCCGGACCAGAAATGCTGTAATGTTCAGGAAAAAGAAATGGTTTGCAACCTAATTCAATTATTAAACAGTAAAAGAACAGAACATCTGAAAGAGGAAATAAACAATATTTGTTTCCTCCTTTTATCGTTTCTCTGCCCTCGCAAGAAAACACTGAGAAGATGAAAAAAGGTAGCTCCCGGTCTTAAAATCTACAGAGGCCCATTTAAAAAAGAAAAATCTGCAGAGACAAATAAGCATTGATTTATACAAGTTTCTGCAGAGAACTTAAATCCGGAATGATGGATTCAGATCCCTCCACTGCACTGTTGGGCTTCCGAAGTATTAGGAATGCACAATTAATGTTGGTAACCATAAAAGCGGGTGGAATAAGTAAGTATATGCCACGTATAAGAAGGTCCAAACACAAGGCATGAACTAATTCGCAGATCTCCTGATAGAAAGAGATTCTAGTCAATGCTAAAAACCATAGAGAAACCCGTCAAAAAGATAAATAATTATGATTCGACCAAGAAAGACTGGCTACACAGAGGAAGACAGAGATATGTAAAAAGTCATGTGCGAAATTGCTCAAAGAGCAAGAAAGACAGGGAAAAGGAAATAACAAGAAAAACCTTGATGAAGGAGCAAAGAAAGAAATGGAAGGGGATGGAATAGGGATATATACCTGCATGGCAGAGAAGAGAGTGTGGTTAGGGTTAGGGAAAAGGGGAGAGGGGGAGGAGGAGGAGGAGAGGGTGGGGTGAGGATGAGAAAGAAAGAGGTGGTGGTGAAAGTGGTGACGGAGCTGGGGAGGGTAGAGAGGGCGAGCAAAACAGTAGCGGCAACCGTACGCTGACACTCCCACGATTCGCATTTCTGCATCTATCTATTCTTCGCTTCACATGCTCTCTCCTCCACCTCATACATATACTCGTCACACGTGTCCTCTCCTCTCTTTTTTTAAATTAGATAAAAAAATGTAAAAAGAATTTTTCAAATTTTATTGATTCTTGACGTTTGGGTGCAACGAAGATATGGTGGGCACCTGATTCCCTTCTCATGAACCAGGATTTAAAGTTGGGAGAATCTCATCCAATCTTTTTTTAAAAAATTAATCATAAATAAAAATTAATATTAAATGAATTATTATTAAAACAATAACTTAATTTTTTTTAAAGGAAATTTATTATTAAACCTTATATATGATTAATTTTTTTAAAGAGGTTGGATATGATTCTTTCTTTAAAATTATATATGAAAATACAGTTCTGCCCTTAACAGCTCCGTGTTGACCCGTCCTTCACCTTCATCGCCACCCCCCTTCCCTAGCGACGTCGGCCTTCACTACTTTCTACGGCGACATCATTGGCCATAGTGGGTTGTGCGATTAATGAACCTCAGATCACGAAGATCTCTTCCACAGAGTGCGCCGTCAAACTCTGTCATCATTCTTCCCAAGTCGGCATCATTCATCTTCATCGGCTTCGAGCTTCGTCCTCACCCTCCCCGCCGTTCATTCTTGTCAGATCTGGTATTAATTTTAGATCTGTAAAAACAAAGCAAAAAAATCGAAGGGATGGAGATTTTTTATGGCTGTGCGATATGTTTTAGGTTCAAGGAAGAAGAAGATGGTCCTACAATTCTGATTGGAAGGAAGGGGCAAGATTCCGATTCCATGCCGGAGTACACGGAAGAAGAAGATAGCGCTAGATTTATGATGGGAAGGAAAACGCAAAATTCAGATGCTGCTGTTGGTTCAAAGAAGAACACGACGGTTCTAGATTGATTTTTGGAACAAATTCGGGCCCAAACTAGAAAATTAACAATTAAGCGTGGGCTAGAAAAGCCCATAAAATCCTTTTTGCAGCAACCCACAACGGTCCTAGATGTTCTAATTTCACGATGAGGATGAGGAAGGGACCTTTTTTTTTTAAGTGTAGTGATTTTGTCTTTGTTTGTTTTTTATTAAATTTTAAAAATAATTTTTCCTGACTTTATTAAACTATAAATTATCATTTTATTATATCACATTCCTTACCATTGCATCCATCGATTCTTAAACTATTATCCATGATTCTTTGAATCAAAGGGCTTGGATAATATAATTAAACTACAGAATTAGGCCCAAAAAAAGTGGCAAGAAACCTCCAGTAACATTATCGTAATTCAGTTAAAAAGTATGAGGATTCCTCATCCTTTAAACTACATTCTTTGGCAAACATGAAAGTAATTAGGGTAAAAGGAAAAGGGGAAAAAAAAAAAGGCGGGGTGGGGCACTGCCCTGGGAAAGACTATCGGGGACTGTGATTTTACCCAATTTCTCTCCGCTTCTTTCTTTTTTCCATGAGTGATAATAAAATTGCAAGACCATGAACTTTTTTCCTTTACTCTGTTGTTTCTTTTCCTTATGTTTCTCTTTCTTTCTATCATATTATATACCACAGCTACCCTTGTACGCTGCATACTATTGTAGTGGGGCATGTTCCACATAACTTGAATAAAAACTCTTCAACTTTTGTCTCCATATTGTTGGGACCCACTATCCAAGATCTTCTTTAATAACTAATTTCTATCACGAATATTTACAGAGATCGAGATCAGTTTATTACGACAGAAGCTTATTTGTGCTTGACTCACCCGATGACGCAATAGACTCAAAAGTTGAAAAATATACCACCTACTTATATAAACATGCACTCTAACCCTATAATCTTATCCAAATCAGGAGATCACTTTTGCTTTTGTTTTATACCCCAGTTGCAAGCAAGGTACATGTTCAATAAGAATTTATTCCACATCCTTTCATTATTTAAGTCTTGATCGTTGGTAGGTTACAACACACGTACACAAAACCAAACACTTCCTCTACATTCTGTTTTCTGATATCATCAAGTGTTGAGGACGATGGCAAGCAGCCACCCTCGCCAACTGGCAGCCATTCCCCCCAGCAAGATGCAGCAAAGAAGAGAACGCAGGATGTTTTCAACCTCGGACGACAGTGCCATGATGAAGCAAGTTCAGGCCACTCACGCCCCAGATGGTCGTGAAGTCGATGTCAAGCCCGTTCTCCAAATCATTGAGGAAATCTTGATTCATGTCATTGCTCGTACCGTTGACGGTGATGTTGATGTATTCTTTACCACTACTTTCTGTTTTTGAATCCATTCTTAATTATCGTTTATGTTATAATCTAATAATAAGCTAAGCTGCCTGTTTGGTTTTGTTCCTAGGGAAAAAGAGAACATGTTGATTCCATGGAGAAGGCTGCTGTCTTTGCTGAGTTGGACATGCTTGATTCCTTGGCCTATATCATATACAAAATTTCCTGCGAGGTTGTTTTGTTATGCCGAAATCTGCAAAACTTTAAATAAAGTTCCTGTTTATTTATTACTGTCGTGAAGGTTAAATGTATTTTCTACGAAGATAACTGACAATCCCCTTTTTTAATTTTTCTCTTTTTTCTTTTCCTAGGAGAAAATATATACTAGTCTCGATGACTAGGGCAATTTCTTTACAAGGACCCTAACGCAAGCTTTCGTAATTTCTTTAGCTCGATATTCAGTCTGATAATAAAGTTAATTTTCTGCCTCTAAACTAATAGGACGGTGAAAACTGATTGAGCATTGCATGACTAATAAATATTGGCAGCTGCCTTACAAGTGCCTAGGAGGTGGAGATCCACATGCAACAGCCATGGGGATCCTGAGCATTCTGTCTAGCTATCCATGGCATGCAAAAGTGGCGCTAACTTTATCAGCCTTCGCTGTTAACTTTGGAGAATTTTGGCTCGTTGCTCAGTTGGGAGCTACAAATACGCTTGCTAAATCTGTGGCACTGCTCAAGCAACTGCCTGACCTTGTAGAGAACCATGCCTATCTGAAACAGCAATTTGATACATTGATCAAGCTCGTGAAGGCGATTCTGGACGTGACAAGGTGTATCATTGAGTTCAAAGAGCTACCCACTGAGTACATTTCAGAAGACACTCCTCCAATGTCCGTTGCTAGCGCTCATATTCCTGTTGCTGCCTATTGGACCATCCGAAGTATTGTGGCTTGTGCTTCGCAGGTTGCAAGTTTTGTAGGATTGAGAAATGAGTAAGCTCGGAAGCTATTAGCTCCATCCCATTCCCTTAGTTTTAACCATGAACTGACTAAGAAGCTCCATTTTTTACTTTTTACGTTGGTTCAATGATTATAGCTTTGGCTCAACCACCTCAGAGGCATGGGAACTGTCGAGCTTGGCCCATAAGATGAGCAGTATATATGAGCAACTTCGGAACCAGCTGGCTATCTGCTACCAATATATAGGTGAGCACATCAAAATTAGCATTTTAGTGTAAAATCTTTAATCTGAGTTAATAATACATAGTTCATAAGAATATCTATGGAAATGCAGATGAGAAGAGGCACATTGAGGCCTACCACAATTTGTTTCGCCTCTTTGAGACAGCCCACATAGACAACCTGAAAATTCTCAGGGCATTGATATACGCCAAGGAAGATCCACCCCCCCTTATTGATGGATCTACCAAAGCAAGGGTTGGCTCTAACTTCTAACCCTTTTACTCTTCTACATATATGCATCTTAAACCCACAGAGTCTAAAACACATGCATTATTTCACTGGTTGAACTTCAGGTTAGTCTGGAGGTGCTGAGAAGGAAGCATGTCTTGCTGCTGATATCAGATCTCGACCTTTCACAAGAAGAGATCATAATACTTGATAACTTGTACAAAGATGCACGATCAAGGAGCGAGACGCACTACGAGATGGTATGGATTCCAGTTGTGGACAGAGCGGCCTGGAATGACATGGGTAGACAGAAGTTTGAGCATTTGCGAGCATCGATGCCATGGTACAGCGTGAGGGATCCCCTGATTATCCAACCATATGTGATAAAGTATACCAGAGAGGTGTGGAGCTTCGCAAAGAGAGCCATCTTAGTGGCCCTTGATCCGCAGGGCAGGCTGTCCTCTCCCAATGCCCTCCACATGTACTGGATTTGGGGAAATCTGGCTTTTCCATTCACTCGTGAGAAAGAAGAATCCTTGTGGAAGGCAGAAGTCTGGAGCCTTGAGCTGCTGGTTGATGGCATTGATCCTGCAGTTCTAGAATGGGTAAGTCTTGATACACTTTCCCTCGATGGCTTGAACTTGAATAACAACAACCTTTGTACTGACGTATTAATGATACTGTGATTGGATTCTACCAGATGGCAGAAAGCAAGTACATATGCCTGTACGGGGGTGAAGATCTTGAATGGATCCAAACATTCACGAGCACTGCAATGGGTGTAGCAACAGCGAACAAATTCTCGCTGGAGATGGTCTACGTGGGGAAGAACAACGCCAAAGAGAGGATGCAGAGAATGATCAACACGTTCACGACCAGAAAGTTCAGCTACTTCTGGCCGAACGTGACGTCCATATGGTTCTTCTGGACAAGACTGGAGAGCATGCTGTACTCAAAACTACAGCACGGGAAAACAGTAGAGAGCGACCAGATAATGAGCGAAGTGATGACAGTGCTGAGCTTCGACGGGAGCGATCAAGGCTGGGCTATATTCTGCAGAGGAGCGCATGAAATGGCGAGAGCCAAGGGAGACACGGCGTTAACATGCCTAAGAGAGTTCGAGAAGTGGAAGGAAAGTGCAACGAGAGATGGATTTATACCGGCAATGAACGAATATCTGAAGCAACTTCACACGCCGCATCACTGCAATCGCCTCATCCTTCCAGGGAGCACAGGGGGGATTCCGGAGAAGGTGGTGTGCGCGGAATGTGGCCGTCAGATGGAGAGGTACTTCATGTATCGCTGCTGTGTGGAGTGAAGGAGACAATACCAGTAGTTATATGTATTTTCATTATATGATATGTATGGCTTGAGTGTTTAATTTTGAGCTTGAATCGTTGTGGTTTGTGTAGTTAGCAATGGTGTTTGTGTGAGGAAGAGGAGGATGATGTGCGCGTGTGGTTTACAAAATTGAGTCCGTATAAGATAGGGAGCTAAAGTGCGCCGTAGGTTTGGTGCTAAAATAATATACTTGAAGTGTGTGCTATTTGTGGCAACAAAAAAAGCAAGTGTGCGCTCTTTTCTCGTTCTCTGTAAATGCCATCTTCTTCGTCATCTCTTTTAACCCAATCGATCCGGTGTTTCAAAATGTTTTCACAAGTGCTTTAATAAGCATCATATGTTCATTTACATTAATAAAAAACAACGTTTTGATGTTATTATTATTATGGAAAGAAAAAATTGAAATTTTTAATTAAAAGCAGAAAATGAAAAATGTCTTCCTAGCCTTTTAATATAATATTGAGTATTTTATGCATGGTTCATAATTTTGAATTCACTCCATTTAAAATATTTTTTTCAAAAAAGAAACCTCTTATGAATAAAAAGCACCTGATTTCTTCTTCTTCAATGTCAGCATGCAAAGAATTCCCACATGACGCTTGAACATTTTTACTGTTTTCAATTGTTCCTTTTTCTTGATGCTGCACGTCTAGAATGAATTGCTGCCTGAAATTGAAGATTGGTAAAATTTTGCTAAGTGTATTATTTTTTGTATTGTATTGTATTGTATTTTCTTTTTTTTTTTTTTGGGCTCTTCTTTTGTTTAAAAAGTAAATTCCATCCTTATGTTCAGTCTTCAATGTAGTTTTTATCTCGGCCTGAGAGAATCTACTTTCTTCAACAATATTCATTTCCTTGTTTACGTAAAAAAGTTTAAGTGAGTTGATTTACAAAGATTTATCAGGATTAGAGCATGTCTGTAAGCTCTAGAAGCGCTTACATATATATTTATAGATCACCCACTAACAAAGTCCTCAAATTAACAATGGAATTTGATCCTATAATTTTATAAGTTATTTGTTAAATATTTACTAACTGAACCAAACTCATTAATTGTTTCAACAATATTTATTGTTGAATCCTTTTTTGTTTTTGTTATTGTTAGATATGGGTGGACTTGAAGATGGGGTTTTAAACTCATGCTTGCTCCAGTCTTTAATTAATATAAGACAAAGTTTGAGAGTATTTTTTTTATCTTAAATATAAAACAAAGCAATGTTTTCAGAACTGAACCAGACATTGAACCGAAAAAGTTAGCGGTTCACCATTCGCAATGTTCAACTGGGTTGGATCAATGGTTCAACCAGTGATGTCATAATTAAATTAAAAAAAGTATATATGTGTATAATAATTTAAATATAAGAAATACATATGAAATTGCTATTTAACTTAAAAAATTAAATATTTTAAGTTTATCATGACTTAACAAGCCACATGATACAACATAATATCAAATGATTAAAAAAATTAATCTTTTTTTTTACAAAAATTTGATAAAAAAATATTAAAAAAATTTTTTTTGAACAGTCCAGTTTTTGAAAACCGAATCCTGTTCCCAGCTTAATTTCAGTTCTAGATCTGACTGCCAATTCGAAACGGCTCAACTCTTAAAATAATTTTTTTCTATGAACCAAACCAAAAATCAGGCTGGTCGACGATTGGACCGGTTTTCAAAACACTAAAACAAAGTTAGAGACTTGGAGTAATTAATTTGTTTTTTTTCAATTTTATCCTTTATTTATTGTTTGTTATTTGAATTCCTAAACAATTTATTACAGTCATTAATTATAAAGAAGGGTAAAGTTGGGACGTTACAGATTTTTTACAATTTAATTTCAAGATTATGATTAACATGTTGTAGTGAATGTGAAGTTTGTCAACTATGTCTCATGTTAAGGATCGGAATAATAAGCCAGAACCCGATGCAATTTGGTTCGAACTAGTTAAATCTAATTCTAATGTAGCTTCTATAAAATGGTTGGTGTTTGTATGTGTGTGAATGTGTGTGTGTATAAATTCTTTGGAATTGGGATTGGTAAATTTAAGTGATTTTTTTGGGTAACATTTTCATTCATTTTATTATTTTTTATAAAATATAAATTCTTCTTTCTTTTATTTAAAAAAGGAAAACTTCACAGAAATTCACCAATCCCGACAGCAAATGATTTAAATCCATAGATAAAATCATATTTTGCAATTTTTACAAATAAATATAAGTTTAAGGACTGTTAAAATTTGTCCTTTTAAAAATGTGATTGGTAAACAATGAAGAGTTGAAGATATGCTTCTTTGACAAAAAAAAAAATATTTTAAAAAACTACTATGAAAAAATAACCTATTTTTGCATGAATTTATACATCCTTTAAATAGTATCCACATAAAATAAAAATATTTAGACAAACAATGCATTAGACAAACAATGCATAAAAAGTTGTGACGATTGCCGCAACAGAGAGTGTACAAAACTGAAAATCTGCAACTTTCCTAGAAGATGCTTGGCAGCTTCTTTGATTTGCACTTGTTCAAAACCAGTTCGTGATTCACACTCAAATCGATTCAAACTGCTAAGAGTCTTGCTGTGAAACTCACAAGTTATGCCCGTGTTTTTTGACCAATCAGTTTAACATTGGGAGAACAGAGTAGTAAGGTTCATAAGAGAAGAAGCCGTATGAAAAGGAGTCCACTCTTTGGCATGCATAGAAAATGAAAGCTGGGGCAATTCGGGCAATCAATTCATTGCAGTGAAGACTTTTTGTTTCTTTTCTTGACTCGCGACTCAACCCAACGAACACTCCAATTCCAAGGAATGATAATTCTGAATTTTCTTTCTATGATTAGTAACCCTTCTTCTCTTTTTTTTTGGGGGGGGGGGGGGGGCGGGAGGGACTCATTTAATCAAGATGTTGAACAGACTCGTCGTTCTGACATTAAATGTTAAATTTGAACGCAACGCTTCTAATTTTATTGTGTGACTATTAAAAATTGAAGGGCATTTTAGTGAACATGCTTTTTCTTTTTGAATGGACCGAAGTCTTTCGAATAATTTCAGGAACGAGAGGCCCTCATAAATAATTGATTCATTACTTAATTATCTGTTAAGAAATCTTCTTATGATGTAAAATATAAACATCTTTTAACAATAATCTGTACGCTACTAAAATCATTATTTTCATGAGAATATATATTGTTTTGTCTCCTAACTTTTTCTGATTTATGATGAGTAATGCTTCCAGAATGTTCAGAATACCAAACGATGAAATAAATAAAAAGAAGTATGCACCACAATAAAATGATCTAACTAGACTTTGAGATTGCAGTATACAGATTTAGTTTTAAAAAAAACTTGAGGGGAAAATGTTTAGAGGATCCAAATGAAAACAACGATGATTTGTCGAGGAAAGGATTGATTGGAGATAACACGGGTGAGAGTGAAACTTACGGTAACTGTGACATGCGACGAGTTTAGAAAAACTAGCGGTCGTACGGCACGCACTTTGTTACACCACCCGCACTCTATTTCCCCCCAATTTTAATCAATCAATCAGAGGCCATATATCTTGACATGTATTTAAAGCTTTAAATTTTAAAATAATTATAAAGTAAGATAATGAAGCCTTCAGCCCTTTAAGTTTGTTTTATTTACCAATTTAATTCTTTAAATTTAATTTTTATCAATTTAATTTTTTATATTTTTAAAATTATCGTGTAAGTCTTTTTATGTTTTAAAATGCTAATGTCAAAATAGTCTAATGTGCAAAGAGCATTGATGGTTTGGCATATATGTATTGTTAAAGAAGAACAAATTAGCCCTCAAATGAGTTTATTTTTTATCAATATAATCCCTTATAACTTAATTTGTTTTCTTGTTTTTTAAAATTTTAGAGTCTATTTTTTCTTACCTTACTAACTATACTTTTTTCATTAATTTACATTACTACTATCAATAATCTACTATCTAAGTTAGCAAATTTGAACCATGCCATCTTTTTTTAAATAATAAGAACCAAATAGATAATAAAGTAAATATAAGGACTAAATTAATACAAATTAAATTTGAAGGACCAAATTAATACCTGAGACAAGCTTGAGAGGCTAAAAGTTGCATTGTCCCTATATATATACTACATAAACATTATATCTCATAATTATTTTTTATGTTTTCTTTTAAATTTTAAAATATTTATTAATTTTTTAAAAATATATTTTTGAAGTCCAGACTATCAATAATATTTTTGCTAAATTAAAGAGAAGGCCAACCAAGAAGTGTTTGCTTCAGTGAAAGAGATTGTGATCACTTAAATGTGAGGTCTTGATTCAAGTTTGTGTGTGGATGTTAAAAACATTTTTGAAGTGTTGTCTCCAATAATTCGATCTGACAATACTAAAACGTAATTTAATTCAAAGAAAAGGTCCTGGATAGCATGCCTTACCCGCTTCAAAAATTGGTAGGTTTTTAAAACCGTACATTTGAATATTGATGCCAAAAAGCCAGAAAGAACTAAGAAAAAGAGAGAGATATTAATCCATTCAAGCACTTAATTGTTTCTTAATTTGAGGGACGTTAATCAAATGGGAGAAATTAATAGAGACGGAGGAGTGGACTTTCTTTGTCTTTTTCCCCCTTCGAACGACAGCTGCGTTGCCTCCATGGCAGGGAAGCCATTTTAGATGCTCTCTCCCAGATGTTCATTAATTCAATTCCTTTCTTCAAAAGGAAAAAAAAAAAAAATCCATTTGCACAGGAGCTCTGAGCTGCGAGATCTGTTTTGAATTTTTGATATTAGCATGCAATTTAAATTGGAAAAATGAGAGAAAAATTCTCCTGAAACATATAAATAGCAATGAAATTCTGTGAAATATAATAATTTTGATTAAGTCCTTTGAAACATTTTTAATATTAATATCTTTTATAAAATGATAATAATTCTCCCAATTTAAAATAAAAAAAGAAATAGATCAAGGATTAAAAATTTGTAAAACAAAACTTATCATTTATTTAGTTATTGTCAAAGAAAGCGTAGTTATTACTTAAATTAAAATAGTTATTGATCTTTACAACATTTAAACTTTAATGATTAAAAAATTTGTAGGAAAAAAATTATAATTACTTATCCTATTTTATTCATTTCAAACGAAAAGTAATTTCTACTTAAATCAAATTATCGCTGCTGTTTACAACATTTAAGACTATAATAATTAAAAAAATTGCAGAAAAAAACTTATCATTTGCCATCTTGTTTTGGTCAATACTAAAAAAAGTAGTGATTATTTAAATTAAAACAATAATTAATATTTATAATGCTTGGGAGCATTATAGAAATTTCACAAGAGATGTTAAAATCATGAAGATTACAAAGTACTCAAAAAGAATTATCATATTTCATAAAACATTATTGTCATTTACAAAATTCAAGAAGATTTTTCTGATATTTTCCCATTTAAATCCAAAGCACTGAAAATATTTTAATAAAAAAATAAAATATAATTTTTTATCTATATAATTTTTTCAGGTTTTTCTTTTAATTTCTGTATTTTTTTGTGTTTTCAATTTTTATAATTTCAGTAATATTGGCTGATGTTTATTACTCCCTATAATTTTATTATTTTAAATATTTTTAATCTTTATTAAAAAATTATAAAAATAAAAAATAAAACCTGATAAAAGTATGGGACTTGTTTACAAAAAATGGGGCGTGAAAAGTCGCAATGAATGAGAAGAGGAAGAAGGGGAGGAAGGGACTAGGAAGGCCAGCTAGATAACAACGTCTGTTGACGTGAGGATTTGACTGACCAGAGGGCACTTTGTTGACTCGGATCACTGACTTCCAACTTCCAATTACTATAATTTTTCGCAGCAATCAATTTTTTTTTTTTTTTGTTGATGCACTTAACATCAATTTTTTTGATCCCACTCCTTACGCCCGTCTCTTTCACGCCCTGAAAACCTTTTTTGGAAAAATAAAAAATAATAAACTGATGTGACCGTTTTACCCCCGATTTCTTTCTTAATGACAGTGGCAGGGGTCGCTAGGATGTGCATCTTGTTCATCGCATGTCTTGTGAATTTAGCTATGCAGTTTCAATGATAAATATATTAATTACCTGCCACTACCAGAATGACTTGATTTGTCGTTTTCCAAGCTTGCTAAGAGTCTCTTCTGGAGATTTTTGTTTGGTACTACGTATGTTAAAAAAGAGCTTAACCTGGTTAAGCACGGCTGTATTGGATTAACCATGTTTTAATTCACAATTTTATAATTAAAGAGGATTGATGATGACTCCTTCATAAGTATCCCCGTGATACTCATGTTTTTCCGATTACTATACCAGGAGCAAACATTAAAACCTTATATATTTAAATATCACAAGATTTATTAATAATTTAATAAATGAAATTGTTTTTTGAATTTTGTAATATTTAAATATGTCGGAGGAACTTTAAAATTATTTTCCAAGAAAAAATATATAACTTTAGTTAAGCAGCGTAGACCGTAGTCGTCTAGGAACCTTTACACATTGGCCTTTTTTGGTGGTTTGCTCCATTATACATTTATTCACGTCCAAATCTAATCAAAATTACACATTCTCTTGATCACCCTGGATTTCACATATATGAACTTGACCACTCTTAGCTTTTAAAATCAAAATTTTATCTTGCTTAGTTAATACTGTTGCGAAGCATTAAACAAATATTTTTTTAAAAAATGTTGTAACTAATATTACCAAAAAATTTATAATAAGAAATGCCCCGTCCCCGTCCGGAACTCAGATATTGAAGCTCCTGGGGCCCACTCTTGCATTGCATTATTGAAGTTTTCTTTGGTCCGGCTGTCTCGTTGAATTTAGCAATCCTATTTGTATTGATTAAGGCTTGAGAGGAACGACGACGTTCACATTCTTGCCCTTTGCGACCAAAAGTGCAAGACGTACTTCACCCACCAGAAAATTCAAAAAAAAAAAAAGGGAAAAATTAGTTCAGTTGTTTATAAATTTTGTAGTAAATAATTTACTTGTGCGGTCCTAAATAAATTTTTCCTAAAATGAATGAATTACCCCCACAACACCTGACACCTCGTTGCTCCTGCTTGATTGATACTGTGACTAGAAAAGGATTATCAATCGAAATTCAAATGATCTAAATATAATGAATTCATGACTTTCAAATAAATTGTAAATTGAATGTCTCGCTCAGAGACTAGTCTACTCTTTTCATGAAACTTGAGGTTAGATTAGGGAGGAAATCAGCATTTTGCGACTGGTTAAAAAATGATGGGGCGGGGTACAGTTGCTGTCTGGTGTTAAATTAACTTGATGAGATCTACCATCCCAGCTCGATCACTGGAATCACAATGAGACGGGGGCTAAGAAAAATTGCATTTGACCCGTTCCTCGGCACTCGGTTTGTAGGTTGAGTGAAAAAATTCAAACACTGGACCCCACTGCTCCAAGTATTCCACACGCTTAGCTGCTATAAGAATAAAGAAACCGGCCGACACCCACTTGAGGAAGAGGACTCGGCTTCCCCGTATCATCCTATTCATCTGTTCATGGCTCTCCCTTCTGCAAAATCCCACCCGTTTCTCTTCTCATTTTTCTCTCTCCTCTTTATCATCCATGCCAAAATCGATATCCATCCTTTCGATCTCAAAGCTTTCTTAACTTTTCACAAGGACTTGGGCTTCAACGGTCAACACCAGCCATCCGCCACACACCTATGTAGCACTGACGGTGTGTTTTGCGAGAGGAGGCTTTCCGCCAATGAGAGCTATGCTCTCAGGATCACCAGAATTATCTTGAAATCTAAAAAGCTTAATGGAATCTTGTCCCCAACAATTGGACGTTTCTCTGAGCTCAAGGAGCTTTCTCTTTCAAGCAACCAATTGGCAAGTCAAATTCCATCTGAGATTGTTGACTGTCGAAAGCTGGAAATTCTTGACCTCGGAAACAACCGCTTCTCCGGTGAGGTCCCGTCTGAATTATCCTCCCTCATTCGCCTCCGAGTCCTTGACATCTCTTCCAACAAGTTCTCTGGGAATTTGAATTTCTTGAAGTATTTCCCCAACCTGGAAAGCCTTTCCGTGGCGGACAATCTGTTTACGGGGAGAATTCCAGTGTCCATACGTTCGTTTCGCAATCTCCAACGCTTCAACTTTTCTGGAAATCGTTTTCTTGAAATTCCTGAACCGTTGATGAAGAGATTTGGACATTCGGCATCAAATGTCCCTAAAAGATACATCCTTGCCGAGAATTCTGGTCCAACAACAAGCCACAATGCTACTGCTCCATCCGCCAGCAAGCACCGTAGAAATTCAACTGGTCAAAATGCTCCAGCTCAAGCTCCATCAGCACCACATCATGAACACAAGTCAAAAAAGAGGAAGCTAGGCGGATGGATTCTTGGATTTATAGCAGGAGCATTCGCTGGGAGCATATCTGGGTTTATATTTTCCTTGCTGTTCAAGTTGGCCGTAGCTGTGATCAAAGGAGGAGGGAAGAGCGGCGGACCTGCAATTTTTAGTCCATTGATTAAAAAGGCAGAGGACTTAGCTTTCCTGGAGAAAGAAGACGGGTTGAATTCGTTAGAAATCATTGGAAAAGGTGGTTGTGGAGAAGTTTACAGGGCTGAGTTGCCGGGTAGCAACAAAATCGTTGCTATAAAGAAGGTCATTCAACCTTCAAAGGATGCAGCCGAACTGTCTGAAGAGGACAGTAAGCTTCTGAACAAAAAAATGCGTCAAATTCGATCGGAGATCAACACGGTCGGTCAAATTCGACATCGAAACCTTCTGCCTCTGCTAGCCCATGTGTCAAGGCCCGATTGCCACTACCTTGTATATGAATACATGAAGAACGGAAGCTTACAAGATGTGCTGAATCAAGTTCAAGCAGGTGCAAGAGAGCTAGATTGGTTGGCACGTCACAAAATTGCAGTTGGAGTAGCGGCCGGCCTCGAGTACCTTCACATGCACCATACACCTCGTATAATCCATAGAGATCTCAAGCCCGGAAACATTCTACTTGACGATGACATGGAAGCTCGCATTGCTGATTTTGGTCTTGCAAAAGCGATGCCAGAAGCTCATACCCACGTCTCAACTTCGAACGTGGCCGGAACTGTGGGCTACATAGCACCGGAATATCACCAGACGGTGAAATTCACTGACAAATGCGACATATACAGCTTTGGGGTAGTGCTTGGCATATTGGTGATGGGCAAGATCCCATCTGATGCGTTCTTCCAGGGAACAGAGGAGCTGAGTTTGGTGAAGTGGATGAGGAATGTGATGACTTCTGACAATCCTACGAGGGCAATTGATGAAAAGCTCAGAGGCAACGGATACGAGGAGCAGATGCTTCTGGTTCTGAAGATTGCCTGCTTTTGCACCCTCGATGACCCCAAGGAGAGGCCTAACAGTAAGGATATCAGATGCATGCTGTCCCAAATCAAACACTGATAGTGTGGCTGTGCTCCTTAAGAATGTCGAGTAATAAGATTTCACTGTTCTGTGAAAAGTGTCTGTGATCAAGCAAGTCTGCCTTAACTAGGTGTGTTGGGTCAAACGTGAAAAACCCTGTAAACTATTAAGTTTCTGATTAAATAATGTAAAATATGGCGTTGTCTAAATTCTCAGGATCAAATACAATACCTTTCTCGCCCTTTTGGCTAAGATCAAGTGTAGGATCAAATACAGAATTGCTAGTTTGCCCAGTGACTGGCTATTAATCCTGATAAAATGATATTCATGTGATGCCCAGCTTTTCTATAGTATTCATCTGGTGATTGCTTTCTTCAATGCGTTTGTGAGTGCTAATACAGTGATGCTGGGGGTTAAAAAAAAATCGTAAGGCGCAGCCAAAGGGGATGTTCCTGAATTCTGAGAAGTATGATACGGAGAATAATGGAATGTTCAATTTGGAAAAGTTGCAAAAGAAATACCACAACTTTACAAGAGAGGGAAAGAGAAAACTCTCCAGCAATTGACAACTTTGAGCCAACTCGTTAGTCTTCCACTTTCTTTTCTCCAATCCAGAGTATCATTAATTAAAGCTATATTAATTGTATCACTCTATTTAATTCCGCGGGCACCAACGAATTAGAATTAGCAATCTGTTGTAAATTTATCCTACCATACCCGATGGGAATAAGCAACACAAATATACGAGTAGATTTGGTTTGTGATTTTCTTTGATTTAAAATCTGAGAAATTGTGAAGTTATTTGGAGTTACAGATATATTTTTTCTACCACACTCGGTCATTGATGTACTGCAAAAGGTGTGGGTTAGGAACATGGTCTTTTTTTTTTGGTGGAGATTTAATTCATTACTAAGATAGTTGATGTAAAGGTTTTGTTTCCGCTGTTTTAATTATAAAGCCTAAAGAGAAATCGCTAGCATTTGTTAGAGTAAGGGCCCATTTGAGGCTGATGAAATCATAATAATTTTCATAGCTCTCGTATCATTAAAAGGTATAGAGTTGAGATAAAAATAACAATCATTTGTATTGATTAAATGCTCTTCATACAATTCAGGAGACAATACATAGCAGTATAAATAGTATAAATAGAGTGCCAGAGTAAGTGCCCGGTGCTACAGGTGAGGATAGACGAATACACATAATCCAAGGAAATTCTGGAATAAGGAAATGGATAGGACAAACAATAAATGATAAAATGGGCCCGACATAATTGGTCTCATCACAACAGAAGCACAAATGGGCTTTTACTCTAACAGGATTCATTATCTGGATGTTTTTAATTTACAAAATGTGGTTTCTTTCCCCTGAAGGTTATATCAGTAGCTTCTGCAATGAATTTTAGTTTGTTTTTGGCTTATGATGAGATTTCAAAATGCAAGCTCAGTCAGGTAGTTCAAAGTTTAATTTCTTGTCTTGTATATTAGTTTCCTTCTTTCAATCCTGTTTAAATGCAGGCTCAATTAGGCTCATGGTCATTCTGGTATTTCTTAATTTTAAATCATTTTATTTTTTTCCCAAGTAAATTTTGAAATTTGTTGGAAGGGTATCAGACCTAAATACATAACAATGATGGTAAATAACATGATTTTAATAAGACTACTACATTTGGCTGCTCAAGATCAACCAATTTTACTATGGCAGCTACTACTTTTTTGTTTGTTCAACAAAGAATTGTGCCTTATGCATAATGTTGATACTGGATTCTATTTTATGTGACATTGACATAAAAAAAATTGTACTGCCTTGGATGTATTCATAAAAATCAAATTTGTTTCTTATAAATAAGTCCGGACATAGTATTGAAGTTATGTGATTAAAACTTGCGATACATGCAGCTTATCATGCTTCAACATATTCTAGTGTGGATGTCAAGAAGCCAAAAATCAAGTACTGTTTGCCCAGAAGTCTGATTTAATCTGTAAGTTTAAAATCCAGGTATTATGTTAACATGATATTGTTAATTGCTCCATTATCTTTAAAACATGTATTGTGAATCTAATGTTCACTTGAATATTGCTTTGATGAGATATTGATTATTAAAAAAAAAAAAAACGTGAGGTTAAACTTACAATGTTCTAGAAAGCATGTCTGCATCCTGAAATGGCTGAGAAATCTACAAGAGTGACTCTCTATCTTTTACAATAGCATCAGGATGATGAACAGACTCTTTCAGTTTCATCAACAGAGGTGTTTCTGTCAGACCAAAATTACGCATGGGTCAACAAATACCAGTGACAACTGACAAGTTGGCAAGTCTCAAGACGGCTTCAAAGCACCAGGTTGCAATTTTGGCTCGGGATGTGCACGGATAATTTATCGTCAATTAATTTGTTTAACTAAAAAACCAGATGAAATCTGTCCTAATAATTGCCCTTTCAACATTTTCATACCCTACAAGTCAAACTAAGCTGTATGAAATCCAGTTGCGATTGTTTAGGAAAAGGGGAAAGTATCATCTGATCGAATCTAAGACACGAATTATGCAGTGCGTGGAAAACGCATGTAAAAGGAGGAGGAGAAAGAAATTGAGGTTCTAATAATAATAGGAAGCCAAGGACAACGAAGGATGTATACATACATACATACATACATATACATACATATATATATATATATGCACATATATTTTATTTGGTCAAAGAAATATATGAATATATATATAAGAACCAAGTTGAAGGACGAGCACAGTACAAAGTATATCAACCAGTACCAGCACGATCACATAAAGCATCAAAACGCAAAATGTCTGTAAGGGGAGCCGGGGATTTAGGAATCCGATCAAAAGGACAAGGGATCAATGAGTCGAACCGAAGTAGCACACTGGAGTATTTTTGGTTTACTAATTTTAAAAGGTAAGATTCCACGTAGCACAAAGCCCCTATAGCTCAGTGGTAGAGCGTCAGTCTTGTAAACTGAAGGTCTGTAGTTCGATCCTGCATGGGGGCATCGCTTTTTTGGTTTTAATTTCTAAGAAATTGATTATTTAGTTCGGTAGTATCATCATCTTCTTATGTGTTTGGTTTTTCATTTAATAAAAATTAATTTATCAAAAATTTATTTAATAAAAATTAGTTATAATGAAATTTGGATACATTTTTTTAAAAAAAATTAATTTAACAAATTAAAAGTTGTTTTGATTATGTATAGTAAAATATATTTTTGAATATATAATTACTAACAAAGATATTGACTTATGAAGATTTATAATTTTTATTATATAAATATAATGTGTTAGAAATGTTTAAAAAATATGATAAACATTTTAAGTGACATAAAATTTTATATGTTGAGTAATAAAAAGTAGAAACTAATATGAAGTTTGATATATTGAACACACACACATTTAATGTTCATTAAAATTCAATATTCAAAAAGAAACTTTTTTTAATGGTACCATGTGATACTAAAAAGATATTACAAAAGAAATTAAAAAAAGAAGAAATGAAAATGAATGATTCTGTTTGAATTTTAAAACTTAAAATTGTTGACCATATGATGAAAATGAGAGTATTATGTGTAAAATTTTAAAATATTTTAAAAATGACTTTTGAAAAGCTACTCTTTTTCACCATAGAGGTTTAAAAAGTACATTTGAAATGAATTTTTTAAAAAAAAATTATAACCAAACAACTTTTGAGTTTAAATTACATATGAAAAAACTTTTTAAATAGTGAAAATGAAAACCAAATGGGCGCTTCATCTTTAAGATTGATATATTTGTCTTTTGAGATGCTTCCTTTGATTTTATTTATAAGATAAATAGAGAAGAATTTTTTTAGTCCTTTTCATAAGTTACATTATTAAATTTTTATCATAATTTTTTTTTACCTTCCATTCAATATTAGAAAGAGAAAATATATTATTGAAATATGTATATTTAATAAGAGTAAATTTAAAAACTTATTAAATTTTAAGACAGAAATAATGAGTTTTAAGATTTTTTTTAATGTTAATGAAACATATTAAAAATAATTTATAAATAGAATCAGAATAATATTGTCCTTCCACTTTACTATTAAAAAGTGCACACACATGGGAAAGATAACACTGCTTGATCTTTCTTGTGTTACATTTTTAATTTTTAATCATTTCACATATCTTAATAAAATTTATATTTTTAAAATATTATAAAAGATAATAAGTACTTTTATTTTTATTTTTAACTTTAAATAATAATATAATTATATTAAATACCTTCATGTTAATCAAGAAAGAGTAAGATTACAAAAAAGTAGTTTAATTATTATAAAATATCCTACATTTTAGATAAAAATTATTTTTAGAATATACTCTCTTTGATTCTATTTATAAACAACTTATAACATATTTCATCAAAACTAAAAAAAAAACTTAAATCTCATTACCTCTGTCTTACAATTTAATAAATTTTTACTTTTACCCCTAATAAATATTCTTAAATTTTATTATTGATATTTTTATTCAAAGCATCTAATAAGAGCAAAAACGTAAAGAGAAGCTTGAAAATTAATAAATATCATATAAATAAGATTAAATATTTATTTTTTTTTTCTGTTTTATAAATAAAACCAAAGGAATATCTTACAAATAAGACATAAGAGGGTGTTTTTTTTAAAAAAATTAAATGAGATATATCATTGTTAAGAATTGAATGAAAAATAAATGACAAGATTTTACTAAGGTGTAAACTTTGATATTTTTAATATGAGATATTTTAGTTTAGAACATGACAAATCTATTGTTATCGTGTAACTATACAAATTAGAAAATTTTCGTCATATCAAAGAACTATATAATTACAATATCTAAAAAGTTGACAAGAAATTCAATGAAATTGTGTACAAGTTACTTTAAAAATTATATCATTAAATTATTCTCATTTTCATTTTTGGACTATGAATCATAGATAGATTTAAAAAAATAATAATTTGAGCACTAGTATAATGAACACCTCTGACCGTGAAATTAAATGTCAATCTGTGAGATACCAATCTGTTTTGCGTATGGATAGACTTAAGTAGGTTTTTTTTTTTTGGACCAAGGACTTTTTTTAATTGAATGAGAAAAGCAAAACAGTTTGATCCATATTTCTATGGGTTGCGATTGCCTCCTGTCGGCCCATGTAAATTTTGGGTTCGCGTGTTGCTTGCCTGATGACCCTACGGCGTCGCGATTGCCTTCACCAAAAACCCCAAGGGGCGAATTCGCTGAGCTCAATCCTTCGACTCTCCTTGTTGCCGCATACTTGAACGCCTTATTCGGTGTTTCTTGTATCATTCCCTATTTCTCTTCACTGTAATTATTCAAATTCTCTTCCTAAATGGCTAGCCTGATTCACAAGATTTCCAGAAACTCGTCGTTATCTTTTAGAGTACTATCAACAATCAAAGTGCCAACACTCCCGGCTCCGACACACACTGATTCTCCTATTCCCCTCCAAACCCTTCTGAGTACACGCTTACCGGTTCCTACTAGCAGCACAGCTCCTGTTTGGAGTCTCTCGGACGGATGCCAGCTGAATTCTCCTCAAAGCTTCCAATTTTTCCCCTCCTTCCCGTTCGGGTTTTGCTTTGATCACGTTGTTTCGACTGAGTCCGAAAAATTGGGGGTGGATGATACTGATACCCCTCGAATCGAGCATAATGATGCACGGACGCTTTGGGCAGATAGTGTTAAGAGGAAGAGGAAGCGAAAAATGAATAAGCACAAGTACAAGAAGCTTAGGAAGCGCCTCCGTCGCAAGACTTAGGAATGTTCCATTGCGCAAACTGTCTCCTAATCAGGAGGTGGTTTCACTATTTTTTTTTTTTTGGCTCTTCTCCTGAATATAATTTATTCCCTCTTCTGGGTAAGTTATTGTCAATAAATTTGAGATATTTCTACAATCCCTTCCTGTATGCTAGAATGTCACTTTATTTCTTTAATAGATTAGTAATATTCGCTACTCAATGTGGTGCATTCATCTCAGAGCGACGCCTGTGTAGTTTGTGATTAAAATTGGACTGTGCATATTCTTCTGCTGGAGAATTATTTATATACTCAGCCACTTGGACAAACTTGCATGTTAAGTCTTTTTTTGCCGCACTGCGATACACAGAAATTTTCATATGCAGACACAGTATGGAAGCCGCTATCCTAAGAAATGGCGAGGTAATCGATCAACAAGCCTAGATGTTGAGAAACTGGTAGGCGGGACTCATGAATTATGGTTCAAAAATACATAGGGGCTGAATAAAGAACAAGAGCAGAGCAAGGCCTGGTGATCGGCCTCCCACCCTCCCCCCCCCCCCCCGAAAAAAAAAAATTAATAAACCCCTTTTTCATTGCTAAACGAAGGAATAGGTAAACCCTATTTAGGTTTCAGGAATTCCCTACAGAAGATGGAGTTTGCATGATCATTTGACTTTCAACATTATTTCTGTTGTGGCATGTGTAGATTAGAACATTAGTATTAGACTCCCTCACTCCCATCATGCCTCCTTGTATTCCTGAAGTTTGTATGTGGTCTTTCTCGTCTTTTTGGGCATTTGTTACTGCTACTTTGTTGGGTCCGAAACATATATCTTTTAAAACTTGCATGATTTACAGGTCTTGTTTACTAAGAGACGACAAGATGTTGGGTGTATGTATTGTAATGTAGTTTGGCTAGTGGACATGCATGGAGCCTGCAAGAGGTTCTGTTCTTGCAAAGTACTATTACATGAATCGTTAGATGGCAGGTACTGCCACATTACCGTAATGCTCGAAAATAATGCAAAAGAAGGTCGAGCTCCAGTGGACATGTGAAATGCTACCCTGTACCAGGGAAAACTTTCCTGAGGCCATGACTTCTGTTGACCTTCGTCTGTTTGTTTCAAAAATCGAAACTAAATTTAGGTTCTGTTGCTCGTGCGTGCAAATCACTTGGGATTCAATTTTTTTTTTTTATCAGAAGGAACTAAATGGAAATTATCCTCTTGGCCATAGGATGAAGATTTACTAGTTTGACAAGTAGAGGGCTAAATTAGATCATCACCATTTGGAAGTCAATTGGATTTGATTTGAGAGGGGTTCTTCCTCCGTATGGCATGACAAAACACACGGAGACTGGTCGTTCTTTTGTCTCAAAATCGAATATCTACCTTTTGTTTTTTAGTCATGCGGAACCACGAAGAAAAGATACATGCAGCGGTAAGTCTCATTATCTATCTTTCTCCAGTTGTATGTTGGTGAAAACTTTGTTTAGGTAGATAATCAAAGATCCCTCACGCTTCCAGATTAACTGATTCCAACTTATACACCGCGTTATCTTGTTTTGGTTGGATGAATAACTGATATTTGATCTGTATTTTCATGAAAGTAAGGAAACCGAAAAGAGGAACAACAATTGTATAGCTTTATTTGAATCATTTGTCTCAAACAAATTCATATAAGAAACTTTTATTCCTTTTTGACGGTGGTCAGTATTGCTGGGCAATGATCAGGTGGTGTGGTGATATAGTTGGTGGTAAATGACTAAATGAGCATAAAAACAGCTTCGAGTAATTTTTGTTTTTATGTTCTAACAACGAAGGGAAAAAAAGACTCATAAATAATAAGTTTAAGGAATGAGAAAACAGAAGACACATACTTAAACATTTTTTTTATTTTGATATTTCTAAAACAGAAAAACAGTTTATAAAAATTTAAATTAACCGACTAGATGAATTTTGTCTTTGTGTTCGTAGCCCGATAGTAAACCACCTAGGCAATATTGGAGCCAAGACCCCAAATCAAAAAGGTGTGGGATAATTTAATAAAAAATTAATATTTTTTTAAAAATAATAATTATATTATAGGATTAAAATTATAGTACTATAAATAGATTAATTATTATTTTTCTTTTTAAAAATTATAATGATTAAGTTGATATGATTTTTTATGTAATATGCTCTTCATATTTTATATGAATTATTAAATTATTTTATATTTAATAAGTTTTTCAGTCAAAAATTTTTATTTAGTCTAAAGAGGTAAATGATTAAAAATAAGGAGTGTAAAGTTATAAAATTTTTATATTATATTTATAATATTTTTTAAAGTAAGAGGGCGTATTTGTCCTCTTTCACTGACACGTGGCTCCGCCGCTGCACCCAGGCACGTGTTCAAATGCTGGTAGATCAAAAGAAAAAGAAACATTGAATTAAACAAGCGTAGATATGTTGTGTTGCTTTTTTTAATAAATCTTACAAAGTTAAAGAAAGTGAGAGACATGAACTCATTTATATTTCTCGATTGCTTGAGTTTCCAATGTTTGTCATCATTGCCTCCCCTCTTTTTTTTGTCTTGACGTGATCATTTCATTTCCTTTACTGGAGCACCTTTCAAATAATTTAATTGGATCCTGTCATTAATTCATTCAGTCGGTGTTTAGGCGTCCTTTTCCATTGCTTTTTCAACTAAATAGTCTGTCGTATTTGACTAAATTGTAAAACAATTGGTATAATTCGTAGTGGGTGCGGAGCGTATATACCATACGATGTTTTTTTGTCAGCATATGTTCAAACTGAACGTGGAATGACTCCACTTGTCACGTTTTAATTTCCTTCGAGAAATTCGGGGAAATATGAAGGATAAGGAATTTAAGTAACTGGTCTCTGTTTGTCTGAAAATGGTGTCATTATTTTGCTAGTTCAGCACAATATTCAAAAATTACTTAATTACATTGCATGCTATTTAATTCGATACTTAAAACCATATATAACGGATGAATCCTTATATATCCAAAACAAATAGACATCGAGTGGCTTTGGTTAACTTTAATTTCCTAGGAAAGAAATTTAAGGGACAATTTTATCAGAGGACTAAGGATGTGATATTATTAAAAATGAAGCCTGAATAAGTCTGAAATTTCATTGCAAGAATTTGGACTTAAACTAAAATTAAAATGTAAGGCAAAATGACTAAAATAATCTTTTTTAACTTTACTTGTTAATTTTCTATAATTACTTGTCAAATGAGTAATATAACTTGATATTTTATATCTTAATTTCTTAACATCACTTGATAACTTGTTAACTTAATTACCATACTTGTTAAATGAGTAATATAACTTGTTAATTTCTCATAATTACTTATTAAAATATTTACTTTACATGTTAATTCTATGACATTATTCAATAACTTGTTAACTTAATTATTGTGCTTGTTAAATACATAAAGTTACTTGTTAATTTCCTATAATTATGTGTTAACATATTTACCTTATATGTTAATAAGTTTATTTCTATCATTTTGCCTTACATTTTAATTTTAGCAGTGAAATTCTCCTTAAATTTAAAATCCTGATGGTGATAACAATGGAGACAAATTAAGCATATTCCTTCGCAAATATAATTATGATTTATGAAGTTACGCTAATCAATGCGTACTCTTCATCATCATCGTGCAACCCCCAGGTGCCGAAAGAGCAGGTCTATTATTGTTGGTGATAATCCATGTGTCTCCATGCTGGCTTTGTTTACGTCCTATATATATATATATTGAATCTTTCGTGTGAATGTATCAATTTAATCCTTAAAAATGTCAAGCCGAATATTGTGTGTGCATGTACATATATGTATGTTGAGCGTTCAGAATGCCTGCTCCCTCTGTCCCTGTCTTTGGCATAATACAATGCACAGCGTTGTACTAATTCTTCAGAAAGTACTTGAGCCATTCAACGTCACAACAAATCTTGGCCGTCCATTTCATCAAAATTTTTTTAAAAAAATGCTTCCTCGTACAGCAATTCATTTGCAAAGGAGTACACCATTCAAGTGTCGGAAAAGCTGCAAAGCTTGGTGGGACGTTTATGATATGTTAATGGGTGTGAAAGTGATTGAAAATGGTGGTAATATAATGAATAAGGCCCCAAAAAAAAAAAGAGCTGTATCGTGCAAAGCTTGCGTGCGTGTATTGGCTTCTCTGGCGGGGAGAGCAAATTTGAACCGCCTAAATTTAATTTAAACATTTCAAATTTAATATTTTTATTTTTTATTTTTAAAATATAAAAATATAAAAATTAGAAAAAAAAATTAATAAACATATTTATCAATCTAACTATTCAAATTTGATGTAAATAATTTAAATGTAATATTAAAAATTTAAATTAATTTTTTAAATATATTGTAGATGATACAAATATACTTTGAACAGAACAATAAGTTTATTAAAAAATTTTAATAATTTAATATTAAATTTAAATTATTCAAATTCAATTCAGACTATCAAATTAATAAATACATTTATTAAAATTTTTATATATTTTTTATTTTAAAAATATAAATTAAAAATAACAAATAAAAATATTAAATCTAGACTGTTTAAATTGGTTGGTCTAAATTTATTTATTTTTTAATGAAGGGGTAAAGGAGGCTTTTTACAATGGAAGGAAGCAAACTCCATGTGGGTATTGTTTTGAAAGGAAGTTTTGAACAATAAACTTTGTGGTTGGTTGCTGTTTCGTTCATTTTGAAATCTTCAAGTGAGATTTTGATTTGTATTTCCATCGTCTTTCACGTACGTATATACTTTAAGAGGTCTGTATGGTTTTTTATCAGTTGCGATGCACTGAATAATGATTTCACCTTGGGATGACCTGTTGCGATCAAGAGATAAACTTTCTGTCATTGAATATACAGAATTACAGAATTCTTACGACAAGAATTATTCGAAACATATGCGCGTGTGCGAGCGCAATTCGAATCCATTCTTTGCAATTAATTCACCATAAATCACGTCATAACCGATCGACTCTTTCTTATTGACAACGATCAAGTCACATTCACGATAATCTATCGGAAACATCAAATAATTAATTAACCAATACGACTTGAAACATGCTCAACCTGCAAGAACGACTTGTGTCATCTTCTTCGTAAATGATCATATGATTACTCCCAATCCTCCTTCCCAAATGTCATGCCCTTTTTGTCTCAAACAGGAACACAAGTTTTGAGGCTAAAACACCCGCATCATAGAGAGGATTTATATTTCATCTATGCAATAGCCGCGCTTTAATTTATCCGTTTGAAGAGCGTACTCACTTTGAATGTGTTTTTTTTTCCCCTCACTACTTCCTGCATTTAAAAAATAAGTTGTCATTTGAAGAAACTTTCCAATGGTATTTATGTTTTAAAATCTAGTTTTTTTAACTAATATTAATTTTTCTTTATCCAGTTCCTCACTGATCCATATTAGCAACTTCTCTTCTCATGCGTAACTTTGGAATTTTAAGTTTTAATCCACTCCTTCATAATCTTAATGCGTTGAAACTGATCATATTTTGAAGATTCGAAACCCCCCCCCCCAAACACACACACGCAAAGTTTTGTTTGGATAGAACATTTGGGCTTGATTTATGTATATACATATAGCCGAAGGAACAATCAATTCTTCATGATGAATTAAATTTCTTGAAAGAAACAGCAACATAAGATTCTGATTGATTATTCCGGTTTTATGAGGCCTCGTATTAAAGCAAGACGTAATATCCATGCATGCCCAAAGCAAATTCTAGGAAATCACATGCATACGCAATTAGCTTGCCAGAGTAAGCACCAAACAAATTTAGATACTTCACGAGAGCTTTTTCAACCATCCAAGTTTTCATACTGCTGCTACAAAAGGAGTAGTGTGTATGTATATGATCTCCAATCAATTGCCTCTATACATCAAGTCCTGACATTGTTGGTGTATTACATTTAATAATGCTCATTGCTATGATTTCCATTCCATAGTCCTATAGGACCGTTCAGATTAAAGGGGGCTTGCTATATTTGAAGGTAGAGTATTCAAGCCTATTATCTGCCACACTCTAATATCCCCGTCAAGGCTTCCGCTAAAGAGTGTGACGACCCCATTATCGGCATCTTTACCGCCTGAAAATGCCACCAGTGACTTGACCGGCTTCTTGTGACCTTCCAACACAGCTCTGCAACTGTACGCACTTCCACTTCCCTTTCCCCAAATCCTCACCGTCTGATCAGCTGACCCGCTCGCTATCCAGGATCCTTCCACGTTGATCAAACACAGGATCGCCCCACTGTGACCCCTGAGCATTTCCGCCAACACGACGTCGTTCGTCCCCTTCTTCCTCTCCCACACCGAAATCCTGTTATCGCAACCCCCGGCGAACAACACCGTCCCGTCGCCGTTCAACGCAAGTGCATTCACAGTTGATTTCTTCTTATCTAGGCTGTTCACCAATCTGTACTTTTTCGCATTCTCTTCCCTCTCCCACACTCTAATACTTCCATCAGCCGAAGCCGTGTACACCGTTCCGTTCCCTGAAACGGCGATGGCGTTGATGGCGTCTTCGTGCGCCTTCACGGACTCCATGCACCGATAATCGGAGGCGTCCCAGATTTTTAAGCTCTTGTCCCAAGAAACCGAGTACATGAGCCCCTCATTCACGGCCAAACCCGAGACCGTGTCGCAGTGTTGAATCCACAGCCTCCTCTTGTGTCGGCGAACGTTGACGTAGTTCTTGGGAAGCATGAAACGACGCAGTTGGTCCTTGACGGTGGGAAGGGTGAAGAGGAGGCGATGTCGTTTGGAGGGAGTGATCAACCACACGCGAATCTTACAGTCCTGATGAGCGGTGAAGACCTTGGAATCGGAGAAGGCAATGGACTTGACGAATCCTGAGGCACGGTTGTCGTTGAATGCGTCCATGTGAGTGTAGTGGGAAACATGGAAGACGTTGATTATATTAAGAGAAGCGGCGTAGAGAAGGTTACGGTAGACGGCGAGGCAGGTGATGTGAGGTGTTAGGGTTTTGAGAGAAGCTAAACAGTAGTAGATAAAGGGGGATTCGTGGGAAAACAGGCGTGGCTTGTTCTTGAAACTGGTGCTGATTTCACAGGAAACTCTCTTGTCTGTGACATTCATTTTGGAGTTGCAGTGAAGGCTGAAGCAACGGAATCGGGGTTGAAGAGGCAGAAGCGGGACTATAAGTAGTAGTTGAGAACTTGCGATGGTGATTGGGATCCGGAGGGAGGACCAAACATGAGTCCTTATTAAATATTTTGATATGCCACATGTGATTTGAATTAAAAAAAAAAACTTGCAGACGAATACATAAATAATTGAGTGCATGTTCGTAATTATACAGAGTTTAAGAGTAGATTATTATTATTCATAAAATAAATCTATATAAAAATTATGCTAATAGTGAATTTTTTATCATTTATAAATAATGTGAGTTATTTCAAACTTTTGAAATATGCGAATGAATTAAATTGATAGACAGTGGAATTTGTATATTTTATATTAAATTTTAAACATTAATATTATTTATATGAATACTTTATAATTAATAATTGATTAATTGTTGGAACAGTTGACGAACCTAAAAGAGGAGCACGTGGCAGGCAGAGAAGGTGAGGAGGAGTGACTTAGTGGGCCAATAACCAGAGTGGCGGGACCCACTAACGATACGATGGACCCAGGGAATCGGATGGAGCAACGTCTCCCCATGCACCTGCCCCTACTTAACCTCCTCCTCCACATATAAGATACGCCCCACATTTTTGGACCTTCTATAAAATAATAATAATAATAATAATAATAAAAAAGCGTCCATGAGAAAACGATAATTTCAATTTTTAAATACAGAGCAAAAAATATAAAAAGAGAGAGTATATGTAGCATTAAAACTCCATTTGAGTTATGAAAATAATCTTATATTTTAAATTCTATAACATAAACATATATATTCATACACCTACACTACAAGGAGTAGATGGCAAGATTACATTAATCATCTTCAACAGAATTTATCAAATAATATACTAGATACAGCATTTGTCTATGTTCAATTAAAGAGGAATATCAGCTTCTAATCGTTTGAAAGTCAATAAATAACAATTTACCTACTAATTCAAACAATTGCTCATCAGCAGATTCTTTATTATCGAACACAATGATAGTATAGTTTGATCCAGGCCGTCCATGTTTCGAAATAATTGAAGGTCACATGATGGGGAGCTAAGTTGTTGCTTTCAATGCGCGATGATATGATTCCCCTTTTTTTCGCTAGCAATTCTGAAGCATGCCGATCACTTCGCTAGTTCTCTATTATTGACTTACTTTAATATAACCTTTCACATTTGTTTATTAATTAATAACAATCTTTCATGCCTTTTCTTAATTTTCATTTTCTTTGTATCGTTTTCGCGGACACTATGTTGTTCTTTTGCTGCGTCGCTCCTCACATTCTCTTTTTGATTGTGGGTGGTGGTGATTGTCTTTTTGATTTTTTCTTGTGAGCTGATTTTTCTTGTGCGGACGCATTATTAGCATAAGCCTAAGCACAGAGACATGAGTTTGGAGGTGCAAGTATAGAATCCCACCAAAGAGCAATTAAAAAAGGAAAAAACCAATAGAATAATAAAAGCATTACCCCCTATTTATGTATAAAAAAAGGCTTAAATCATGACATCTTAACGATTCCTGATCAACAAAAATTGACATCAAAGCGTTAATTATGTCGTTGCTTGCGTGTGTATAAGGTTATGCACGTAAAGGTCGGGGCCTAGGTTGAAAACGTGTCGTTCTGATACGAACAGTTGAGTTATAAGACAAAACATGTCTCCAGTGGAATTGACCTTCAAGAATGCTGGTTTTGTGGTTCATGGAATGTAGCGCATAAGCCTATGTTTGTGTGGGAATGTATTGTATTTTTTAAAAGCGTTAAATAGGTGCTTTCTTAATGATGGTGTGTCGACGTGTAATGTTGTAATGAATTGCACTTTGGTCGAGTTTCATTGGCCGTGGACCAAAAAACTTTTGCGTTTTATTCCGACGGACGGACGGAGGGGTTGTGGAACATTCCTTTTAGTGTCCGAGATTTTACAGTTCTGTTATATGCGTGAACAATCAAGTGTTAAAATTGATCCAAAAAAAAAAAATTCAACTGTTGAAAGTTAACATTTTCTCGTGTTTTAAAAAAATACTCATGAGAGAGAGAGAGAGAGAGATCATAGATTGAGTTTTTCGACCAGTACAGCTCGTCTAAATTTATTTTTCTTATATGGGTGAATTTGAACTCAATTAATCTAGTACTCGGCCCATTCATAATTAAAAAACATTTTTAACCAAAGTATGCTCTTTAATAACTTAGTTAATTGTTTTTAAAATTATACACCCTATTTGAGCTAAATATGACCCTTTTCATATTTACTTTTATTTAATAGGGTATTTCAATTGAAAAATATTATTAATTGCACATGAAAAGACATAAGCTACCTTCTATTTTTAAACATAATGCTTTTTTAAAAAATACCTTATAATATTAAATTGGTGTACTATTATGTTGCTTGTCATATAAAGACTTTTTTAAAAAATATATATATATTGAAAACTAGCTATCTATAAGATATCCAAAATTTAAATACGAAATGAATAAACTTTGAACAACAATTGTACTAAAATTTTATACATATATTTGTGCATATCAATCAAAGCATATAGGGAATTGGTATGATTGAAAGAGAAGGTGGACTTTTGCACTGAACAATAAAATCAAATAATCAATTAAAGCAAATAAAAGTTACAACTCATGAGTAAGTAAAGGTGAAGAAAAGAAAGAAAGAAAATTAAGAAGAACAGTGTCGACTGTTATAGATGTTCCACCATCATTGAGCTAAAGGAGCAGAGGACACGTTGAATTTCTTGTAGAATAACATTATTATCTTGGCAAGAATAAAAAAGCAATACATGCTCCCTCCACCTTTATATATAATAAGTGTTTTAGAACTTTTTTATTTCTAAATATAAAAAATTATTAACATATTTTTTAATAAATAAACCATCATATTCTTATTAAATTAAAAAAAGAAAAATATAAGTATTCTTGTTATTGTATTTTTAAAAATTTTTTTATTAATAATAATTAAAAATAAAATTTAAATTTTATTATTTTTAATATATATTTAATTTTTATTAATTTATATAATTTAATTAAAAATATTTTATATGTAAAGATGGAGTTAATACTCATTGTGCATGGTTTGGAGGTAAGTCAGTTAGTCGGTCAAAAAAATAAAAAACAAAGGGGTGAGTTAGTTAGTGCGCCAACTGACTCAAGTGCTGACCTCACCTATGGGTTAGGGTATAAACGTACAGGGGATGCCTTCTGTAGAGCTACAAATGGCAGTCGCTGAAAGGATCACTTGTTCTCCTAAATGAATAAAACGGGCCTTCCTTCATTGACTGGGCTATTTTTAAATGGACCATTCATTTAAAAGTCAAATTCCAGTCCCATGAATTTTTCAATGGTCCACTCCCTTTATCTATTTTTTGGCCTGAGTCCACTTCCTTTGTCACTTCCCTCATTTCTCGCTCTTGCCTCGCGACTCTTCTGTCTTCTCTTCCCCCACCCTCACTTTCTTTTCGACAGATTGTGTTACAGTTACTTTGTTTTAAATTTTAGAAATTTGCGGCTTCTCAATTCTTCTCCCAAGGAGAATATAAGTCAATTCAGGTCATATAATTTAAGCAAAATGAAGTTGAATTGGATTAATTTATTTTTATATGAGTTGAGATTTAATTTTCAACCCAAACTCATCTTGATGGATTGGTGAATTATATGGCCAATGTACTAACTTTTTTTTATGATTTTTTTAAAAATCATAGTTAAGTGGGAAGTTCTATAATATATTTTATATCATTAAAAAATTTATATCATAAGTGTATAAAATTGATCGATTCGATCATGATTTATTTTAAAATTTAAATGTCTTGTGAGATCTTGGTATTAAAACTCTCTCCATTTTTTTTATTTTTTGTATAAAATAATATGGATTAAATGAGTTAAACCTTATCCATTAGGATTAAACTCATTGGAGTCATTAGTTATTTGATCTGAGCCGAAAAAGATTCATTTTTATATGATTGATATTTCTTGAAACCCGACCTGACATTTATATCGAGGTATATGGGTCAACCCAGATAACCAAACCCATACTTTTAGTTCTACACAGGAAGCTTGTATTTTAATTTTCTCAGAGCATGTGGCAAACTTGCTCATAATCCTACAACATTCTTACCTTGTTCTCTCTCACACGTCTCTTCCCAATGTTATTAATGTTGTTTCCAACACTCTAAACGGCAAATTCAATGCTTGGAATTCAGAGCACACCCAGAAAGAGACCCCTATGCAAGCACCATCCACTGGAAAGTTTGTGGATCTCAAAATTTTGATATGCCTGAAGTTACACAACAAAAAGCTTCGCTACGCGCCTTTGCAGTACTTCGCCGGCTGTGATTTTCTTTGGGAAAATTAGCCTCCGGGTTCTAATTTTCACTTTAGTTTTCAAGCCTGCCGCTAAAATAAATCTCTCTCTCTTTTAAAATCTTCTCCTTCCATGATGGCCAGAAGAGTTATTTCCCATGCTCCAATTACCTGTTTCAGTGCTAGTTTTTATAATTTCTGGCAGTCACTGAAGTAAAATACAAGATATTTTGCATGATATCCACGAGTGCGCGTCAGCAACATCGATCTATCCACAATTGGATATCGTGGGAGACCCAAAAAAAAAAACACACAAGATTTTTTTTTTTTAAGAAGTCGGGAAAAACAAGATATATTTATTTATACTTCAGCACTCCACCTCATACCAGTCGTTCGTGCAAACGGACTTCTCATGGAAGGAAGAATTTCGAGATCACACTATCTAAGCGTTGATGTAATTTGTGAACATGCACCATCGAAAGAGTGATACAGTAGCCGCTTCAAATTATACATGCATGAGTGTTAATTTTTAAGATAGAATTACAGCAGACGGGCAGGCGTTGGGGAAAAAAAAAGTGTAAGTGCTGGCCTCTTAAAAATAAAATAAAAAAAATATAGGGATCCATGTAAACGTTGAGATAAGGTACAAGGAGAG